GATTGAAAGTGCTTTGAAATAATAATGCTGATCATGAGAGTGGGGTTGTAAACCTTAGAGAGCATTTCGACTCATTCTCCTGCCAAATTTTCAGAAGCATTAGAGTGTTTTGTTCTGCTGCCTGAATTTTGCGGAGACAATTTTTGTCTCAACCTCCATTTCTTCACTCGGTACTTGTATTATGGGAGAAAACAACAGCCTGAGCTTTGGGGAGCTATTAAGACATACCCAACCATTCAAGGCCTGCCAGAGACATTTTTCTTCTCAGTCTGAAAACTCTGGTACATCGTTTGCCCAAACTCCTCAGAAGAGGAGGGTGGCAGTCTGATGACGTGCACTCTTGGCCAGGAAAGAAAGCACCAGCTATTTTGGCAAACAATGCACTTTAAGTTACCAATGCAACGAAGGTTTCTACCTTATGAATAATTCTTGGACACCTGAGCAGGGGTCCCAAGCATATGTTTTGTGACAGTGTTTGGAATGTAAGCAGAATGTAACCTCCAGGAGGGCAGAAGCTTTTTTCCTTCCCCTTTTTGTTGCTGTCTTCGCAGACAGCACAAAGTCATAATAATAGCTAACAATTTTATAAAGCCTGCTATGTGCTAAGCGTTTTTACAAATAAAATTTCATTTGATCCTCAGAACAACTCTGGAAGGTAAGTCTTATTACTATCCCCATTTTACAGATGGCAGACAGGGGTTAAGGGACTTGGGCAGGATCACACAGCTAGTTAGTGTCTGAGGCTGGATTTGAGTCTTTCTGACTCCAGGCCTGGCCTTCTATCTATTGAACCAAATAATAAGCCCATAATAGGTGCTGAATAACAGTATGTCAAATGAATGAATGAACTCTTCCTGCTCTGGGGCGTGAAGGCCTCCCAAATCATTCTGTCCCCTTGGTTTCACAAGAGACCCACTAACATTTTAGGAATGAAGCCAAAAGCGAAGATGGAGGAAGGATGACCCTACTGGTGGATTGTCCCATTCAACCATAGAATCCTTCAGGCAGTTGGATGGTCTGGAGAAGGGGCCACAGGACACTGGGAAAATATCTTCACCTCTGTCTCTTAACGTCTTAGTCTCTCTGTGCATATAAAAAGAACTGAAGGAAACCAGCTCTCATACCTCAGGGTTAACAGGAGACAAAAACTAAACAAATAAATAAACAAAAAACCTAAAAATTAATTGTCCTAAAGAAAACCTATTTAAATCCCACTGATTACCACTGATTGGCAGCAAACTGGCATAGTGAATAGAGTGCTAGCCTTAAAAACAGGATGACTCTAATTCCCACATTAGACACTTACTTAACTGTATGACCCTGGATAAGTCACATGTCCTCTCTGTTCCAGTTTCTTCACCTGTAAAATCAGGATAAAAATAACATTGACCTCAAAGGGTTATTGTGGAGATCCGGTGAGATGAAAATGTGTGAAGCATTTTGCAGACCTTAGAGGCTATATGAATGTTAGCTATTTAATCAGTGAAAGAGACTCCTAGTATGGAAATTACCTCCAGTGATGCAGCTTTGCCCCAAATCACCTCTAATTGACAATCTTTGAGAACTGCCTTTAGGGGAGGGGGAGAGGGGCTGAAAATAGACATGTGTATCAGCCTGCAGCTAGTATGTCTCAGTGTTAAGACTTGAACACAGGTCTCTTTGACTCCAGCCCCAGCCTTCTCTGCACTAGGTCATGCTCTCTCTCTCTCTCTCTCTCTCTCTCTCTCTCTCTCTCTCTCTCTCTCTCTCTCTCTCTCTCTATTACTTTTGTTCTCTGAAAATTCTAATGGAACTCAACCAGCAGTTGGCCCCTTTCCCCTGACTTCTACAATAGAGTACAGACATGAGAGAATGAAATCCAGTGAGTGGATACACAGTAAAACCCTAGGATTAACTATCCCCTTCCATCCCACTTCTTGAAATGGTCACTGGCTGTTTCTCTATTTATTCCCATTGGCAGGAGAATGGGGGCAGGTGGTGAGGAGACCTTCATGCCATCTTCAAAAAAAAAAATCTGTCTCTTCTCATTATGGGCTGCATCCTGTCATCCTTACAAATGGCTGAAATAAAAGGATAACGTTTTTATGGTTAAAATAATGAAACACAATTGAAGAATGTTTAAATGTTTATTTCCATGTTAAAAATGATGACTTACCCTGTGGTTAGAAGACACCTTTATATTGGAAAACTTTATTTCTGAAATATTTCAAGGGGAGGAGGGAAAGGAAGCAAAAACAAATTCCAGAGAACAATGAAAAATGAGGTTTAAAGACCTCAGCATCACTACCAATAACCCCAACAACAAAAAAAAAAAAAACTGTTTTCTTTCCAGATCCAAATTGTTGAATTCCTTGCATTTCAAGAGGGTGTAACTTGTCAGTTTGCTTCCTCCATTTAAATATTTCAAGGGGTGATGTATGTACACTGTCAACCTGCTGCTTTTCACATTATTTTCTCCAAATGCTTTCATTCCAATATACCTTTTAGCATCCTTGCTATATTGTGTGCATTAAGTTCAAAAAAGAAAAAAAAGAAAAATTCACTGTATGCTTTTAGCATAACTTTACCATTGTCCACTTAAAATACCTCGCAGGTTATGTATTTATTCATATAATATACTATACAGGAAGGATGTAGATCTCCAACCAACTGCATGGTAGACTCCTACAGGGGAAATCCCCTCCCTTGATGCATATGGACTACGTCTATGACTTAGTAGATAAATGTCTGAGGCTCGTAGAGATCTAGAAGCTTGACCAGTGTCACAAAGTTAATAAGTGTTGGAGAGGGGATTTGAACCCATGTCCTCCTGATCCCAGGTCTAGCACTCTACCCATAATGCCACACTTCCTCTCTATATGTTACATAAAATGGTGCATGGCTTTAAGCTAGGAGATCCATTTCTCTGCATACTTACCATTTAAGCCATGCCTATACCCACACACACCCTGTGGACTAGAGAACTGAGTCAAGCATTGAGATAACTCATTATCTTTTTCATCTCAATTATACGGATATTTCAGGTTAAGGGCTCCTTTGATCTGAATGGTCCTTTTGGATAGTTAGACAATGCACTGTTATAGAAAGAACAGTAAGTGGACAGTGGGTGTTTAGTTAGGAGACCCCTGTCTAGACCTGGTTATGCCATTCACTAACTGGGTTAGTCCCTGAGCCTTTCTACATCTCAGCTTTTCTCATCGATAAAAGGGGTTGGACCAGATGCTGTCGACAATTCTTTCCAGCCATCAATTAATATGATTCTTCGATTCCACCATTCTGCATCAAAAGTGGGCGGTCTATGGGGGGCAGTGCAAGGAATGCTGGCTCTGTAGTAGGGTTCAACGACCTGGGTTCAAATCTTAGCTCCTACATACGTATGTATGTGTATATGTATGTCATATATGACATGATACATGTGTGCATGTGTGTATGCACACATATAAACTAGTTGTGTAACTTTGGGCTTTAGGAAAATAAGAGGGTTAGACTAGATCAGAGGGGTCAAACTCAAAGCTCTCAAAAATCCCCAGTACAGCCAGAACCAGATTAAAATGTAATTGGGAAATGTTTAACAAAATAAATAATACAAATAGATAATGTTAATTTGTGGTTTTCTAAGCCTCAGGGATTCATTTCCTTTAAGTTTGACAACATTGATGATCCTTTAAGCTGGTCTTTACTAGTTCTAAATCTAAGACCTTATGATTACCCTAGCAAAAAAAAAGGGGGGGGGAAAGCATAAATTATAACCAAAAGGAGCTGAAAGGAAAGAGAAGATGAAAAATGAGTATTTAAACAGATGTGGCAATGGGACAGATGCTCTGAATTTTCACTGTGCTAGCTTGGCCAATATGCAAAATAAAATCTTTACAAAAGCAGTTTTCCTTTCTCTGATTCCACACACAAATGGAAGAGATGCCATGTGTGCCCTAAAATTTAAGAAAGAAAAGAAAAATGGGGGAAACATTTTAATATCCTCTCACCTTGCTATCTAATGGAGTGATCGATTTATCCTCAAATCCCTTCTTAAATTTGTAGGAAGGTCAGCCTTCTGGTTTCCAAGCAACTTGCCTCCCTCCCTCCCTTCCCATCCCTCATTCCCATCCCTTGGTTGCTGGAAAATTATGCTAAGCCGGGCATGGTGTCAAATGTCTCCGAGCCCTGGGGGCCCGGGTACTAAGGCAGCTGAAGTTGGTAGATCTCTTGAGTTCAGGAGTTCTCAAGTTTCCACACGAAGTGCAACACCAATGTGGCAAGCCCCAGGAAAGGGAGGGGGCAACCAGTTGCCTGAGGAAAGACAAAACCACCCAGGTCCAAACTAGAGATCAATAGTGGGACCACCAATCAATAGTGGCCATGAGGAGCTCCTGCACTTCCTACGTGGATGAGACAGGGAAATGTAATCTCTAGGGGGAAACTCTCATGCAAAAGATTGGTTTTCAGTTTGTAGGTTTTGACCCATGAGACCAACAAATGACCCATTTGTTCAGCATTATGCACCAGGCACTCTACTAATCCCTGGGAGTACAAAGACAAAACTAGTACCTGACCTCAGGGAGTTTACATTCTAATGGGATGGCTGTCCTCTCACTAGAAAAGCTGGGAGTTCACTTCCTTTTGTTTCTGTTAGCTTTCATTTCAATGTCTACATCTGCTACAGGGTGTATCTTTTTATTGTGGATGAACCTGGAAGTGAAGGATGGAAGTTTCAGAGAGGAAGATGTATGGACAATTAGAGCTATCCAAAGGTGTGATGAGTCTTCAGAACACTAAAACTCCTAGAGGGCAGGAACTGTTTCATTTTTGTGTGTTTGCATAGCTAGGCAGCTAGGTGACGCCATAGTGCACAGAGTGCTGGGTCGCGAATCAGGAAGATTTATCTTCCTGAGTTAAAATCTGGTCTCAGACACTTGCTAGCTGTATGATCCTGGGCAAGTCACTTAACCCTATTTCCCTCCGTTCCTTCATCCATAAAATGAACTGGAGAAGGAAATGGCAAACCACTCCAGTAATCTTTGCCAAAAAAAAAATAATAATAATCCCCAAATGAGGTCACGAAGAGTTGGACAAGACTGAAGCAAGTGAACACCAACAACAACCTACTGCTGGTCATACAATAGGTACTTAACAAATGCTTCTTAATCGAATGATTAATTGACTGACACACTATCTTGGGAAGTCATGAAGACTCATAGGATCACAGGGACCACACTGGCCATCTAATTCATCCCCCTCATTTTATAGATGAAGAAACTGTAGAATGTATGTGGAACCTAAGCTCCCCTTGGGAATGGACTACTTTGTTTTTGTCTTTGTATGCCACAACCTAGCACAGTGCCTTGTAGACACTAGGTGCTAAATAAATGCTTTTAAAAAACTGAACAGTAGATTTGCCCTCATTGGACAGTCACTTGTTGGTAGTGCTGTAGAATGTAAGTTCCTTGAAGGGAAGGACTGTGTCTGGCATATATTAAGTGCATAATTAATGGGTCAAATTAAAAATAAAATGGAGTAGATGAGATTCTTGTTCAAGGATGGATTAGATTATAAGGAGGCAACATGGAGCAGTGGGAAGAACATAGGAATTAAAATCGGAAGCTGTAGGTTCTAATTTGGTCTCTGCTAGTTAACTATTGTCCTTGTGATCTTGGACAAATCACTTAATCTCTCTGAGTCTCAATTTCCTCATATATAAAATAAGGGAATTGGGTGAAATGATTTCTAAATTCCCTTCTAGCCCTAAATCTATTATCTTATGGACTCTGCAGTTAGTTTATCAGTGGCCAAAAAAAGTGTTTTGGGTCTTTATTAAAAGAAGCATGACATAGAAAAAGGGAGGCATAGTGTCTTTGTTCTCTGACCTGGTCTGACCTCATCTGGAATATTGGGTTCACTTCTGGATTCCATAGTCCCATAATTTAAGAAAGACATTCATAGCTGGAGAGTGTCCAGAAGAATGCAACCAGGGCATTGAAGAACCTTGAGTTCATATCGAGTAAGGAACAGGTGAAGTGACTGGGGATAAGAAAAGGTTTAAGAGACTGGGAGAAAAGAAGATGGGTGGAGGAGGGGCATGATAGCTGTTTTCAAATGTGGAAGAAGGTTTGATCCTATTCTTCTTGGGCCAAGAAGGCAGAACCAGGAGCAACATGGGAAAGTTACAAAGTGGCAAGTGTACAGTTGAGGTCAGGATAAGCTTCCTAACAATGAGAACCATTTCACAGTGGAATGGGCAGCCTCAACATATGGTGGCCCTTCCAACCTCTCCACTGGATGTCTCCAAGTGGAAAAAGGATGAATATTATAGTGGGGATTCCTTTCCAATCTGGGTTGGCCCAGATGTGGCTGCTGAGATCCCTTCTAAATCTAAGATCCTGGGATCTGGGGACTGTGTGAATTATTTTTTGTTTGTTTGTTTATTGTTTCCCCTCTCTCTCCCTCTCCTCCCACCCAACTCTGAGATTCTATGAATTTAGGAACCTGGTTATCTTGTGGAGTGAAGTGCAGTTATGTGAGGGCAAATCTAAGCTTTTGTTCTCAAAGGAAAGAAGCCACAATTATTTCCAATTATTTCTGATCTAAGGATCAGATCTGGCCAGGTCTATATAGTTCTACAGTCACTGGACTATTTCAACTCATAAAAGCATATAGCATTCAGTCCATAGTTTTTTCTCCCTCTATATAACCAAAATCAAGGAGACTATGGACAGATCAGGATTTTTTCTCCTGGTGTCTAGTAATCAGCAAGGAGGGCAGATCAAACCACAGTCATATCTTGCATATAACTGATACGTAAACGGATACCAGTTATTTAAAGGTACACAGTATTTACAAACTGCCCCTCCTGAAACAACTGGACGCTGTCTTGCTCTCTTACTTAAATGATATCTTGGGTGGGGTGTGATGGCCCACACCTGTAATCCCAGCTACTTGGGAGGCTAAGACTGAGCCTGGGAAGCTTCTTGGGCCTGGAGTGCTGAATTGCAATGGACTAAGCCATTTCAGCATTATTAAAAAGCTCAGCATTATGATGATTAGACACCAAGAACAGGGGGCCACCAGGCTGCTTAAGGAGGGGCAAACCAGCCCAAGTCAGAAAAAACAGAAGGTCAAAGCTTCTGTGCTGTTCACACCAAGTCCATGAGTCATTCCTGCATGTCCAGCCTGGGCAAGATAGGGAGATCGAATTTGAAAAAAATATCAAATTAAACTAAGGAAAATGAAAAGATATGTTAGCCAGTGGGAGCCCAAAGATTCCATTTGATTTGGGGGTGGTTGGGTGCAGTATTGCAATGTATTTTTAAGGGGCTCAGGTTTCTTGTAATGAACAATAACAGTCTGTTACAGAGGCCCACCTCTGGCTTCTTAGTCCTTATCCAAGTGGCATTTTTCTATGTAGCCTCCTATAGCTGCCAAAATTCTAAAGGCCTTTGTGCTTTTCCTCCCATTGCACCCTCCTACTCCTAGGAAAAGCTCTTAATTTACAGACTGTTGTAACTACAGTTCTCAGTGCAAAAGTGAGCTCCCTTTTAATTGAATTTATTTTATAATTAATTTCTTTTTCCAAATCCTGTTGTTATCAGCAGGAAGAGGGAGGCCTGGCCCACTCCTTATGTAGTTTAGGCCTCTGTTTCATTAATATACCTAATTTATGCTCTTAGGCCAAGCAAAGAATCTCAAAATAGAAGAAAAGAAAATTTCTGCTGGTCTCATTTGAAGAATCCATTTAAAATAGTCTAAAAATCTCCTAGGCCCAATAAATAGAATTTAAACTGGGAGGAAATTTAGAGATCAACTGACCAATTCCCTTCATTGTACAGATGAAGAAACTGAGGCCCAAAGCAGGTAAATTACTTGCCCCAGTCCACAAAAATAGTAAATAGCAAGACTAGGTTTTGAACCTGGATCCTCCTAACCCTCAATATATCAGTCTTTCTACTTTACCATGATTTCTATCTGTGTAATTGACCTGCTTGATTGGACAAGGATCATCTCCTCAGGAAATACCTTAGTTTTTAGTTCAAATAACTCCACAGGCATCCCTTCACTAACTCAAGAGTCCCCCACCCTACTCCTTCTCTCCACACTTGGTTTTTTTCTTTCTCATTGAGAATTCTTTTTATAGCAAATGCTTCTTGGGGTCACAAAAGTTCATCCTTTGGCCAAAAGGAAGGGACTTTCAGATTTTGCCAAGCCTCTGATCTTGACCACACATGCAACAGCCATAAAAAGCTGACTTCAGGCATGACTCATCTGAAGTTTCTCTCCCAGTGGGCTCCTGTATATTCTACCCGGTACCTAGTGCATTGTATAACTAAATCCCATAATCCTGGAAGCACGAAATTAAGGAAGACTTTCTTGACAGCCGACACAATTAAACCTCAGAAGATATTTCAGGGGGATTTTGTGGAGTCTCTAGTCCTAGAAATCTATAAAAATAAGACTACTGATTCAATGTCTTGGATGACTCAATCAGCCATTAACCTACTCAGGAAAGAGGAAAGTGGACCAGATGACTTGTCCAGCTCTCTGCTGTTCACCTTATGTCATTGGTAAACACCAGTGGCTCAAGAAAGCCCCCAAGAGAGGTCACTCTAGCCCAATGTCTGCCCTGTGCCAGTAGAAATAAAATAAAGACCTTGACATATTTTCCCTGCTGTAGAATAAATTTCCATTTCGCTGAAGATCAACCATTCTGTTCTTCCAATGATATTTCTTTTCCATTTAAAAGTTATATAAAGATGGCTCATTGTCTTCTTTTTCTTTTCCCAGCCTTTGTGTTTGTTTGTTTGTTTGGGTTTTTTTTTTTTCATAAGAACTGTTCCATCAACTGGGGAACAGCCATTTCTTTCTGATGATTTTTTTGGACAATATCCATCCCTTTTCTCCCTCAGTGCACATCCTACAAAGGTTTTCTCTCTTCCAGAATTATGATAATGGATATTTTTCCAAGTCACTGTATAGATGGATTTCTACATATTGATAAATTGGAATATCATTTTTATTAATAATAATTATTGTCTAGGGTGGGGAGGAGAAACACAGAGAGTTTAATCTTCTGCTATTTCCTAGGCAATTTTCTTTCTGCAAATATCAGTTCTAATTTTAGATCTCCATTTGGATAATAAAATGTGTTGACCACAGCGTGCTTATATAAATACAGCTGTTTTAATTGAGACATTTTTCCCTCTATGAAATAGGACCCCCTAGTTTCCCATTAATTTCCAGTTGCCCGGGACAAAAATAAACTGACTAATGCCCCATTAATATTCCCTCCCCTCCAAACTTTTTAAGCTGTAGGTAGGAAGATGCCAAAGGACATCCTCCCCACCTTCCAGCCTGCTACCAGGGATTCCAGAGAGGAAGAAGAAAAGGAGAAGATAAAGATGTGATTCTTAGGGACTGTCCCTAAAAGCTAAGGGATGCCAACATGGAGAAAATCGGCATCCAAATGGACACATCATAAACAGCATGGCAAAGACAAGGAATTAAATTTTTATACAAATCAAAAGAATCCCCAAAAAACAAAGTTTGAGATTTCTTCTCTTCCATTGTCTAAAAGAAACCCAGAGGCCACATGAACTAGGGGGTTGGTATAAATGTATATAAAAAACCATGAGCACGGCTCATCACAAATAAAATGAAATGGCTACATTCAATTATCTTTCAAAGATGTCTATTCTCAGGCCAAGGGCAAGGAAATGTCCACTGTGCTTTACAAAGGACTAGGAATAGAAAAAAAATCAACCCCCAGGTCCTCTCTAATTCCAAATGGCTATCCATCATGAGATGCCATGAATCTCACACTGTGTCCCGAGGGGGCGGAGTTTATTTGTATTAGCACTGTGCTAGTACCAGGCAGTATCAAAAAATGGCTGTCTTAGACCCCTTCCCCCCAAACCCTTCCAGTATCCGCCACATGGTTTTTGAGAGGGGCATGCCCTGGCTTCAAATGAAACCATCATCGCTCTGCTACCCGCATGTGAAGTGGTCCATCCAGACCTCCACGTCTTGAGCTCAGCTTCATCCTCCCCTATTGCTGACAGGACTTCCTGCTCCACCATTCCAAAACAGAAGGCATAAAGGTGAATACAAACATAATAAAGTAGTTTACATCTGGTCTTGCAGTCTTTCCATATAGTCTCTAAACTCCTGCGAGTCCCCAAGACTCATATCTGGGCAAACCCACTTGATGTTATCATCACTGTCAAAGAGGATAGAGTTGGTGTACGGGCCTCCATCCTCTGGGAGAATAGTGGTGTACGAAGTGAACTTGACTCGTTTCCTTTTCGGGCCAGGATTTAGAGGTTCACTTTTTAATTCTTTTTCATAAACGTAATCAGAAGGCCTAAGGAGTTGGCTGTGCAGTGCCGTCTGAGAGCTGCCATTTAGAAGGAAGTTGCTTTCCTCGAATTGCATCCCACGGTCGAGCATGGTGGTGCACTCCTCCGATGGAAGGGAGATGTCGACAGGGTTCTCCAAGAGCTCCACTTCATTCCCAAGCCAAACCCAGTCGTGAGAGTGGGGGATATTTCCTTGCTCGCTCACTGAAAACCTTTTGTGCCTGTACTTCCAAGCAAATGCCACACAGTTGATTAAGAAGACTAAAATGGCCAGGCAGAAGACGCAGAGGAGGGCATACATGCCAATCTCTAAGTCTGTTAACCCCCTAGAGGTTAGTGAAAGATCATTGGGATTATTTGGCTCTGGTAACTCCACTTGGGTAGGGAAACTTGTGAAGGCATCTGGATTATTCTGGAGTTGGCCTTTCTCAAGGAACTTATTTCCCTTTCCCTCTAGAGATGACTGTGGGGTCGTGGATTTATTGCCACTTTCTTCTTGGCCAATAGAAGTGCCATGTTTGGACCATTCCTGTATGGCCCTTTCCTGGTCTCCTTCCCTCTCTATGGAATTACTGAGGTGCTCTTTATATTCACGATTGACACCCTCAATATCATTGGTGCTTCCTTGGTTCTCATCCACTTTCTGCCCAAATTTTACCCTGACGCTTCCTTTCCCGACTGCAAGGACGCTCTTTCTCTTGGTCTTCTGACAAGGTTCACTGATCATCATTTCTAACTTGATCAAGGGCCCTTGCCCTTCCCCCTCAGCAACCACAATGGGCCACTTGGACTGAAGGCTTGGCTGGGCAGATACCACCATCTCATCCAGTGATGTGACAGCAACAGCAAAATCCTTAGGATCATAAATATCTAAAGGAGTCACGGAGCCATCACTGAACAAAAGCCAAGAACTGACTATTGCTTCCTAGGGAAAAGCAAATGAGAACATGGCGTTATAATCAGGGCAAGAGGAAATTACTCATATACTCATGCACTTATTTATTTTGGACCCAGCCTATGATTTCACTGGCATGGGGAATTCCAGGTGTGAGAAGCCTCTGTAGCAATGTAAAATTGAAAATTATCTGTAGCTTAGTTTCAGAGGGATACTTAGAAGTTGAGTAGAAAGCCCAAGATCACACAGCTAATATATATTTCAGAGGCAAGACTGGAACCCACTAGAATATAAGCTCCTTGAAGGCAGGAACTTTTGTCACCTTTATCTTTCTATTTCTAGCAGATGGCAGTTCCCGGTACATGGTAAACACTTAATAAATACTTATAAAATTGAATTCCTATCCCCAAGGTTGGCCCTCTTTCCATTATATTATACTATATTATATTACATTGCCTCTAGCATGTTTGCACAGAAATGCATATACCCTCCCTGAAATTATCCTGTATTTATGCTGTTTATAGTTATATGTGGAAATGTTGTATCCCATGATATTATATAAGCTTTTCAGGGGCAGGGACTGTTTCTTCCTTCATCTCATGTGTATCCCCACTTTTTTGCATGGGATACCTAGCACAGAAAAGAGGCTTAATCGATGTATATTAATTGATTGATTGATTTCTGCCTTTCTACCCATTATCCAGCATGTAAGATGGCACCCAGTGCACACTTATTAAATACTTCTTGAGTGCTCAGTTGATTGATTAATGGACCACTTGAATTGAAGACTTGGCTGGGTGGACAACATCATTTCATCTAATGAAGTGACATTAACTGCCAAATCCTTGGAATCATAAAAGTCTGGTGGTATCACCAAGCCCTCACTGAACATGATCCAAGAATTAATAATTGCTGGTAAAGCATTTGATTTTTTTTTTAATTTACAGGATTAGAAAAATAAGCACAATATGCATTTGTTTTATTTGGAATGAATTTTAGAGGTTGTTGGGTTGTTACTGGTTTGGGCCATTTTTTTTTGCATTGTATTGAACTAATGTTAGCAATAAATGCATATCTCCATGACCGTAAAGACCCAGTGATTTTGTTTAATGGATACTTTTTTTAAAAATTGCATTAATTTATAGCATGACATACAAATGAATTTGGCTCTGACCTTTGCAAAACCCATTTTGAAATATCAGGCAATGCACCAGAATCATTTCCAGGTGCAACAAATCAGCCCACGCCTCCAGAAAATACCACTTTAAATAGACTTTATTAGGAAGTCAGCGTTAGAAAAGGAATATAGGTGCTCACTTGAGGTACTTAGAAAAGGATGCATTATGCGTTTAAAGTACTTGAAAGCCAAGATTCTTTCACAGTTCCTCTTTCAAAGTATTTCTGTTTTAAAGTCTGAAAATGAGAGGAGTGTTTTAGACCTGAGATAATTATAGTGTAAACCAACAGCAAATTGGCACACATGAGCCGTGCTTGCAAAAGGAACTGAAAGGAAATCTGAAAGAATAAAAAACTGAAAGAAAAAAAAGCCCACTGCTTCGGCAAAAGTAGAGAAATATAATCTTTCTGTCATTTTGTAGCAGGAGACTTTCAATGGAGAAGATAAACAGGTAGCCAGGCGGATGGCATTTGGACAAGCGGTAAACGTATAAATTGACAGAAGAAGGTTCATCTTAGACATCAGAAGCAGTGCTCTCCCAAAGTGGAAGGGGCTGAATTCCTTGGGGGAAGAGGGTCTCCATCCCTCAAAGGCTGGGTGAATCCCTATCAGGGGTGTTGTAGAAGGAATTCCTGGGTAAGTATAGGTTGGAGTCTTTGGCCTCTTTGAGGTCATTTCTGATTCTGGAACTAGTCTCAAAGAATCAAAGCTAGAATGGACCATGGACCAGGGAGTCCAGTGAGCCCAATTTCTTTATTTTGCAAATAAAGAATCTGAGGCCCAGAGGATCAAAGAGATTTAGGATTCTAGGATGATAGATTTAAAACTGGCAAGGTCTTCAGAAGCCAACTAGTCCTGTCATTTTGCAGAGGAAAAAACTGAAGCCTAGAGTGATTAAAGTGATTTAGAATTTTAAGATCACAGATTTAAAGCTGGAAAGGACCTCAGAAGCCAACTAGTCTAATCTCCTCATTTTGCAGACAAAGAAACTGAGACCAAACAGAGCAAAGTGACTTTCCCAAGATCATATGAGTTAGTGACAGAATCAGGATTTGAACCTATATCCTCTGATATCCCATAGGTCCTCCAGTAGTCTTTCCACTGGAACACAGCCTCCTCCCCCAGAGGTGCAGTGCTACCTCTGGGAGATCCCAGATGAGGTGTCTTGATTTTCCAGACTGCCATCTTGAATTTACTGGGGAAGGAAAGCCTACCTGTTGTGGGGCATGAAGAATATCACGAGCAGATGCTGTTGAAACAATGGCTCTTTTGTTTCCTTTGTTGGGTTGCAGGGAAAGAGATACGCCAGCCACGAGTTGTACCCCTAGGTCTGTGATCGTGACCCGGTCATCTAGTACTATAACTGTCTTCTCAGCCAAGATGGAATCAGAGAGAGGTGACAGGACCTGAAAAAAATACGCACCAAAGCATATATTTCTTTGTCTTTGTTTTTGCTTTTCCTGGAACCGACGATAGATTCTGGCACATGCTAGGAACTTTATAAATGATTGTGGAGTTGAGTTCTTCTCCATGCAGATAGTGAAAAACAAAGGTGAAATGTATAGAGTTGTGTTTTGGTTTTTAGGGGGAGGAGGTGGTTCTGGACCATTACTTTCATTGGCCTGGGAACTCCAGGAACGGAAACTTTCATTAACCCATATCGGGAACTCATTCTGTAATCGATAGTTTTAGAGAGTGGGCTGTGGGCACTGAAAGGTTAAACATCTTCCCCCGGGTCATACAACTAGTACGTGTCCGAGACAGGACTTGAATCTGGTTCTTGTCAACTCCAAGGCTGACCCTCTTATCCATTGTGCCAATGCTGCCTCTCAAAGAGAGGAAAATAGACCTCGATAATCACTGATGTTTTCTTTTCAATCATAACTTTGTCACAATCATTTTAAACCCCATAATTGATGTTTCCACCGAAGTGTTCTCCCAGTTTTCATCTAAATGAACGCACTTGCCAAAATGGTCCGTAAAAGCATTTCTTAATTGTTCAATTACTTTCACCAATAGAAGACAATGGCATCCTAAAGATATCAGTGCAATCCATTTCCTTCCTTTGATCTCTGTAACAGCCAGCACAGAGCTCCCTTCTGTAATAACAGTTGGATTTAATTGGATGGCAAGTATCTATATCTTATAAATAATAATAACGGTAGCAGTGTTAATAGGATAAGGACTGGCACTGGACTTGTGATTTCTCTGCTAACGGAACTCTCAGATGAAGAAACTCCCTCTCTCAATGCAGTCCACAATTTTCTTTACAACCTCTAGTCTTACAGACTTATCTCTCTAAGCAGTAATAATAATGATGATGATAATAATAATAACATGTAATGAATAATGATGGTGATGATGATGATAATGATGAAAATAATAGAAAGACAGTGTGACCCAATGGATAAAGAGCCACTTTTAAAGCCAGGATGACCTGGGTTCAAGTCTCAACTCTGAGGCAAACTAGTTGTATGATCCCAGGCTAGAGCACTTAACCTGTCTCAGCACTCTAGGTAATTCCCTAAAGCAGGGATTCATAACCCAGGGTCTGTTAATAGATTTCAGAAGGTCCATGAAGTTGGACCAATAATTGCATCTTTATTTTTGCTGACCTCTAACTGAAATTTACCATTTTTTTCAATTATTTAAACCATGATTCTTAGAAGGGTCTCATAGGCTTCCCCAGACTGCCAAACAGTTCCAAGGATACAAAAAGGTGAAGACCCTTGCTCTGAGGTAATACATTCTAAAGAAGGTATCGCCCTAGGTTGGTAGAGTTTCCTCACTTGAGAGTTTCTCATATAATTCAAATCACAGTTCTAGTCCCTATCCTTATCTCTATCAATCATAATACAGATCTTGGATTTGGGCCTTCAAAGGAATTGGAAAAAAATGTTTTCCTAATAAATGGCCCCTTTGCATAGTGGCATAGTCATAAGTAAATTGCTAGTCAAAGTTCTGGGAAAACAGTAGGTTGTTAATGGTAACAAAATTAACTGTATTTGCTTCTCGAAACACCATACGAGCACAAGATTGTTAGAGTAAACCTGATGGTGTCCAGAGAAAGGTGAAGATCCTTGAGACTATGACAAATGAGGATCATATGAAGAAACTGAGGATATTTAACTTGGAGAAGATGCAGGGAGCACCATGATTAGCTATCTTGAAGTGTCTGGAAGGCTTTTCAACTTATTCTGCTTTGCCTCAAGAGGGCAGACTGAATCACAAAGGACGGAAGTTATAAAAAAGAAAATCCAGGCTTCATGTCAGGTCAGTCAGCCAACCAATAGTTATTAAGCACTTACTATACCCCCCCAAAATACTTCTTACAATTAGAATTAATCAAGAGGATAATAGGCAAGCTAAGGAAGGAGCCCTCACTAAGAGCCTTTTCAGAAGAAAAGGCTGGCTTAGGTAACCTCTTGTCAGTTCTGGGTTTTTTTGCGGGGGGAGTGTTTTTCAAATACAGGTTGTACAAGACAGTCTCTGAAGCCCCTTCCAACTTGGAAATTCTGGATCCTCATGTTCTATGCTCTAAAAAAGTCCTTCTGTCTCAGTGAACCTGTAGCTGACCACTATGTGTGCTCCTATTTGCCCTTTGTCCTTCACTGCGGAAGAGGACCATGACATCAGGGAGGTGATGGCATGACATGCAAGTGAATTGGATTTAAGTGAGGGAGGGCCATGCAAGGTCACCAGCCTCACTTTCTCCTCCAGAGCCATCTGGGTCCAGTGGCCAGATATGGATCAGGACGACTGGAGATGGTCCAGGATACAGTGTGGGTGCATGGACAAACCACTAGACCAGATAAGGCAATTCTGATGACACAGCTTTCAGCAAAACTTCAAGAGTGGCCTACGTGACAATGGTGGGAGTCATTTTTCAAGCTCAGGCCCTTTCACAATTACCCAGATTTATTCTCACTCACAGTACTGAATATAAAGAATTTGTTTTCACTCAAATGAATAGGGTTTTTCCTTCTTGATTTAAAGATATCTTGCACAGTTCACACCCACACAGAGCTGGCAGAGTTGTACTTGAGTTTTGAAAAAGTATAGCTATCTTCGTTGAAGTTCATGATTTTCAGTCAATAATAATAAGCAGGGGAAAGGGTAGCACAAGAATGTGGTAGCTGGTGGGTGGGCATGCCCATAGCTGGAACTACTCAAACAGAAGCAGTCAGTTGATAAACATTTATTAAGCATCCATTATGTGCTAGGTGGGTCAATGGATAGAGCGTCAGGAAGACCTGACTTCAAATCTGGCCTCAGACACTTACTAGCTGTGTGACCCTGGCTTAACCCTGTATCCCTCAGTTTCCCCATTTATAAAACAGAGGTCAGAATAACACCTACCTCCCAAAATTGTTGTGAGGATTAAATGAGATAATAATTGCAAAGCACTTAGCACAACTCCTGGCACATAATAAGACTTATATAAATACTAGCTATTTTTAGTGGGGAGGGGGGTGCAGTTGGTGTGAGATTCCATGCATTGTCCATTTCAGTCCTGATTTCATGGACAAGAGTTTCAAGAGTTACTTTTTTTTTTCTTTCCACTGCTGCTTTGAACCTTGTTTCATGTGTCTTAAGTAACAGTGAATTTCTAAGAATTTCAAATCATTAAATCCATGAATTTGGATTATTTAACTCATCATTCTCTGGCTATCCACGTGCATGCATTGTTTGTTTCATATACCTGCACCGTTGTTATTCCCTGCTCACGACCAACCAGTGTTCTGCCATCTTGTAATGTAGCAATTCTTGGTTCCTCCACCTTCATGAAATCTACCACTAGATCGGTGATGTCAAACTGCCAATCAGAGCCCAACATATAGGTCAGCTGGCCTCCTAAATCCAATGACTCAGCCACAAACTGCGTCAATACGCGCACCATGGCATGCTGGTACTGAAGGGTGCAGCCTCTTCCTTTCTTTTCATCATCCTCATCATCGTCACTATCTCGAGTAGGCCTGAAAATTAGCATCATGGGAAAACATGAGTTAAACAGCCATGTGATCATGATCCTATAAGAGGAACAGTAGAAAGAGAGCTCAAGTTATTGGCAGCAGAAAAAAGACCCCTAGATACAGAAATACTCAATAACAACGCTATTTATTCATAGAGTTTGGGTGTTCGTTAAATAGTGTCTTGTCAGTATACAACATGTTGATAATTTTCTTTTTTTTTTAATGAAAATATAGTTTCTAGTCTTGTAAGGATTCTAACTAAAAACTCATGTTAATTAATTAGCTAATCAATTAATTATTTGTAAGATCCTATTATTAGCCTATTTCTTTGTTGTCATTCTTTTTTCTTTAAGACTTTTGTAATTTAATTATTCTGAATCACACTTGATAATTATGAGAATATTTAGCAAATTCATTAATGAGGAACCCAGTTACAATTGTCATTAATAATAATAATAATAATAATAATAATAATAAATTGCTTCTATTTACATGATGCTTTAAAGGGTCCCAGGTACTTTACAGCTACTATCTCGTTTGACCCTCCTGGCAACCCTGTGAGGTAGTTGTTGTTATAAATTATTCCCATTTTACAGATGAGGAAAGTGATTCTCAGAGTTATGAAGTGACTTCTCCAGTGCCATATAGCTAGCAAATGTCAGAAGCTGAAGTTGAACAAATCCAATCTGTCACTCATACTTATTTGTAGATAAAATTCGGTTTTCCTTGTAAGTTCACATTTTGCAATATTCAGGAGACAGATTTTTATACAACATATAAAGGGAGAGAAAAGGCTTAATGAGATTAATATCATCTGGGCAAGCAAACTATCAATTATGTCCTCCCTTCATGTCAATTCAATTCAAATCATCATCATTGACAAATTTTGTTAAGTACCTACCATGTATAAGACAAGAATTAGAGTGTCACAATCGAAAGATAGGCAGCCTTAACTTCAGAAAAGTCTGGTCAGGTCATGCCTCTGACATGTGTCTGCTGAGACATAGATTTCCCATTCATTCCCCTCTCCCAAGAAAATCAAAAATCTAGACCAAAACACACACACATACACACACACACACACACACAAACACACACACACACACACACACAAAAACACTATGTTATGTAGTTCCTCAGAATCCACCCCAGGAGGAGAAAAGAAAACTTCAGTGAAAGCAGAAAAAATAGAAATTAAAAAATACTTCAGGTTCAATGAATAGAGTCTTAGACTGGAACCCTGAGAATTTGAGTTGGAATCCTCATTCTGTTCTGTCTATGAGATCAGGAAAGTCACTTGCTATCTCATCCTCAGCTTCTCCATCTGTTCAATGAGGGGATTTGACTAGGTGACCATTAAGCTCCTTTGCCACTGAAAATCTTTAATCCTAGAATCTATGCTTCCCATCATCAATGTTGGATCCAACTCAAAAGGCCCTACAGTGGGAAGAAGGAGAAAATCAGATGGCACAGAATGACAGACTTTCCTGAAATTCAGGGGACCCAGAAATAGCTAAAGACATTGACCCTCCCTCTGGTACCATGTACCTATTTCCCATAATCCCATGATGGTCATCCCTGCCCTTGCTGTCCATTTCCCCTGAATATAACATCAGAATCCTGCTTATGCTGAGCAGCCCCACCCCCACCCCCCCAGGGCTGGTCATTGCCCAGTTTCAAGGGAACAGACTTCTGATGAGCTGTTGTCTTTATTCTCTTCTTGTTCCTTCTTATTCCTAAGCCATTTTAAGAGAATCATAACAGGAGCAGAATCAGCCTTTAGCAAGGAGCAAGGCCTTTGAAAATAACACTACTCCCATTAGTGGAGTGAAGATATCACTTGGCCCAAACACTTTCTTCCCATCTTCCAATTCATTTTTCTGTTTACACTGCAGGATGGGCTCCAATGTCCACTGTTTTGCTTTTATTCTGTCCTGAAAAATCAGCTCTTAAACACCAGGTGATCCTGGTTTCTCTCATTAGGACCCCATGCTAGGGGATTCACAGACTCCAAATGCTTTATTTCTTGAGACGATGAGCATTTCTAAAGTCAAGGTGGGGAAGGGGCAGAGAATCATTTGTTTTTTATGGTGTTTGAAGGAGATTTTCTTTTTTCTTTCTTTCTTTTTTTGAAGTGTTTATAATGTTCTTTTTTATACACTCTTTGAAATACTAGTTATGGGAGAATCATTATGAAAGTGAATGGCATTGCTTTAAATTGTTTTATGACAAAGTTAGCAGCCAAGAAGCTGGGAAAGGCATTTCTTAGATCCATACACCATCAAAGCATTAAGCAAGCTCCATTATGTAAGCTGATGCACTGTTATGTAATTTAACATGGATATAAGAGTGATCATTTTCCCCCAATCAATTATTGTTATAAATCACACAGCTGACATGCATTTGAAAGAAAGCATGAATAGATTGGGCCCACACAGCCCATATACCATCCATTCTGCTTTACTTGCCCTCTCTTTTCTCCGGTTCAGGAGACTTAGGGGTCTGGAGACCTCGGACATTTGTATGAATTCTAATCAAAGAAGCTCAGAAGTCATGCAGACCACTCGTACCTGAACAAGAATCCCAATCACAACAAATCTGCTGAGCGATAATCTCTCAGTCTTTACTTGAAGACTTCTATGGGAGGCAACAGGCAAAGGGATCCATCCCCTCTCAAAGTGGCCCATTCCCCTTCTGCCTAGCTCTCGCCATTAAGAAACATTTCCCTGACATCAGCTGAATTTGTCTTTTTTCAATTCAAGTCCACAAGCAATTTTAAGCACCTACTATATGCCGAGTACAGTGCTAAAGGCTGAGAATACAGAGTCAAAAGACAGTTCCTGCCTTTAAGGAGCTCTCAATCAACAGAGGAAATGACATGCAAGCCACTATGAATGAATAAGCTAAATACAGGATAAGTATGGGAAAAATCAGTAGAAGGAAGGCATTAGAATTGAGAGGAGTTGGGAAAGGTTTCTTGTTGAAGGTAAGATTTTGTTTGGGATTTAAAGGAAGCCAAAGAATCCAAGAGGTAGAGATAAAGAGGAAAAGAGTTCCAGGCATGGAGGACAACCAATGAAAATCCATAAAGTTGGGAGATGGAGTGTCTTGTGTAAGGAAAAAGATGGAAGCAATGTCACTGGATCACAGTGTGTGTGGAGTGTCCAGGACTCCTGGTTCTACCTGGTTCTATGCTCTTTCACATAAGGATCCCTCAAAAACCTGAAGTCACTTATGTCTCCCACCAACTCTTTTCTTCAGGCTTGCTGCCTGTTGATTCAAGGTAACTATCTCCAACCCCCTCCATTAATCCTTATACGGCCCGAACTCAACTATGCTCATCCTCCCCTGGACACTGTAGCTTATCAATATCCTTCCTCCAATGGGGTAACCAGAACTGAACACAAATCTCCCCATGAGGTCTCTCCACAGCAGAGTCCAACAGGACAATTGACTGCCTACTTAGGACACCATGCATCTCTAATTTACCTTGAGACTGCATTAACTTCCTTGACTATCACACCTCACTGTGGATTCCTCTATGAAGCTTGCAGTCCACCCTCAACCACCAGTTTTTTTTTTCAGATGCCATGTTGTTTAACTATTTCTCCCCCATCCCAAGTCTGCTGCTAACTAGATATGTGTGATCTTGGGTGACTTCTCTGGGGGTCAGCTTTCCCATGCACAAAGTAAGGAAGCTGAAACCATGTGATCTCTGTCCTCCCCTTCCAAGTGGAGCATTCTATGATTAGATTTGGTTTACTACATTTCTATCCTTACAATGGGCAAGGCACTGTGCTAAGTGTTGGGGATACAAATAAAGGCAAAAGACAGCTAAGAAGCCCGTGGTCTAAGAGGGGAGACAACATACGAATGATTATGTGATTATGTGCAACCTATGGACAGGATAAAATGGGAGTAGTCTCAGAGAGAAGGCACTAACATTAAAAGGAACCAAGAAAAGCTTCTTGTGGAAAGTGAGATTTTAACTGGGACCTGAAGGAAAGAAGGAAAGGTGGGAAGGAAAAGAGCTCCAGGAATTGGGAGGGGAGCCACATATAACTCTGGTTTACAAGGATTTTAGCAATGTATTTGATATGTCATATCATACTATTTTCCTGGGAAAAAAAAGAAAGATAGAGGTATCTAGGTTAGACAATAATTTCATTAGACAGATTCTGAAATAGGCGAGGACACATTAAGGGTTTCTTGTCACCTTGGCAAGAGGTCTCTAGCACAGTGCCCCAGGGATCTCTGCCTGGCCCTTTGCTGTTTAGCTTTTTTATCAATGACTTCAAAAAAGACCTATAGGAGGGTATACTTACACCATCTGCAGATGGCTCAGTTGTTCCTATGAGTGCTACCACCACAGATACTATAGGATGAGAAGAGAAAGGTCTTGAGGCCAAAGTTCTTGGCCTTGCCAGATAGGTTCAACCTCAGAAATTGACAGGATATCAGCAATGGAAATTGCTGAAGAAGAGGCGTGATCATCTGTTTTGCCTTGCAGTCCAAGGATAATGGCAACTTTCCATGTGAGTTGAAGCTGTCCCCCCATAAGCACGCCAACCCTCTAGAGCAGGGATGGTCTTGCATTTCTATTTGTACTCAGTGTTCAGCACAATGTTTTGTACATAAGTACTTAATAAATATTTCATTCATTCATTCACAAGCTAACAGCTAACACACACTGTGTTTGAACAAATGGAGATCCAGAAAATACTTCCAGGGACTAGAAAACAAGGCTTAAATAAATAAGATGTGGCTGAGATAAATGTAAATATATTACACTTGGGCTCAAGAAAATGATTTCAGGAGTACATATAAAGGATGAGGAGGCGTTAATGAAAAATACCTCAAGATCTTAAAAAAAAAAAGATCCAGGGGTTTTGGGTAGCTTACAGTCTCAATATGAGTCCCCAAAAGATATGTCAACCAAAAATTCTCAAGCAGCTATGGCCTTAGCTAAGAAGGCCATAGCTTTCTGAACTAAGTGATGACGT